ACTAAATCCAGTAGTAGTAGTAGTATAAATCCAAGTGTCAATGTAAGAGATCTCAATGTGGACATTGGCCCCTTTTCAAAGTGTTTATTATTATACAGATGAGTGACAAAGGAAAAGTCTGAGTGGTGTCTTCCAGGATGACAGTTTCCATCCATAAGTCACAAGGGGTCACTGAATGGTTTGTTGAGTATGAAAATGATGTGACTCGTACGCTATGACCTACATTCACCAGATCTCAAAGCAGACCATCTTCAAAACACCAAATGAGAGAATATCTTTTGGAAGAATGGTGTTCATCCCTCCAGTACAGTCCAGAGACTTGTAGCATCAATGCCTGGGTGCACTGAAGCTGCTCTGGTGACACATGTTGACCCAACACCTTATTGAAACACTATATGGCAGTTTTTCCTTTTATTTGTCACCTGTGTGTGTATATTATGAATATTTTATCCTTTCTCTGGGATCCTACCCAGAAGCAGCTTTTATTTGACATACGTCTGGAGTTGCTTGTTTGAAAAAAAAAATGTGCGTGACTAATAGCTAAAGCGGAAACGTCATGTGACTAGACACTTTAAGTGGCTCTATAATATCTTATCTGTGGTCTCCTTTTCCCTGTTAGGATGCATGTGTTATTGCAGTACGTCATTCAGAATCTAATTAGACTATACACTAACATGATCACTGTACAGTTCAACTTCATTAAGATAATCTCTGTGCAGCCACTGCTGGACACGGCAGGCCTCTCCTTCTGCCCTCTCTGCTTTCATTGATTGTTGCAGTGATTTGCAGAATGTAATCCAATGCTCTGTGACAAGTTGTAACTGAGGTTAAAGATGGCAATTTAATTATGTGTCAGAGGTCACATTAAAGGCTGACCCTTGACCCATTACTGCAAGACTGCTGATTAGTGACAACAACAACATAGCAGACCAATACGAGTGTAACAACAGGTAATTGATGCAGGGTCGGTAGTCTGAGAGTAAAAAATGTATTTGCTAAAATGTTTGACTAGTCCTTTAAATTTACGCTTTTTGTTTCTATCTCAGATGAAGCTGCCAGTAAAGTTCATACTTTTTCTCTAATATGGAAGATTTTTTAGTACCTTTTCTGAAAATGGCAGTTTAAAGATAGGTCACATTGATGAGAGATTGGAAGGTTAGGCCCGTTTTATCTGAGACATGAAGAGTATGAATATATATACCACACTAGAGGTTGTCCAAGTGATTGATAGGTAGATTTAAAAAATGACTTTTATATTCATGCGTTTTCAGTGTAGCAGACCTCTGGCCATATTTTCTTTACTGTAAAATGATTGTGGCTGAAAGCTTGTGCCGATCAGCTGGCCCCCCAGATCTTCAGCAGATCACTGGAGCTGTGTGAAGTCCTCTCATGCTTTAGATGCTCCACCATTATCCCGATTCCCAAGAAACCTTCCATCAGTGGACTGAGCGACTATAAGCCTGTCACCCTGACATCTGTAGTCATGAAGTGCTTTGAGAGACTGGTGTTGGCCCATCTGAAGGACATCACAGACCCACTGACTACTGCGCAAACAGGTCAGTGGATGATGCAATCAGCTTGGCACTGCGTTACATCCTGCAACACCTTGACTCCCCAGGGACCTATGCACTGGTCCT